GCATAGCTACTGTTAGTTTACCTATTACACAGTAAAAATCGGCATTTTTCATTACCAAGAAGCAGTACATGAGTAGGTCTGAGCTGATGTTGTGGCAGCAAATCTGCCCAGCTTGTGAAGCTGTTAGAGAAACAAGCCCGACCAGGAAAAAAGTGTTTTTGCTGCTGTGTTGGTGAGCCAGCCTAACAGACTAGAAGAGGCTGCAATGTGTGATCGGTTGGTACAGAGGGGGAGCAGGGACGGCGGGAGAGGACGAGGACGAAGCCTGCAAGGACAGCAAGTTTTTAGGCGTTATAAGGGAGGCGGTGGCACTGCACCCTGAAAAACTTTTGCTTTTCAAACTGGATCTTTGTGGCCCTGGGTGTAGATGGGTTTCTCTGAAAATATTTGAGTCTAAATTGTTTAAAGCTTTCTGAGCTTTTTTTTGATGTTCTTTACCACTTTTGCTATGGTTAGTACACGTAGGACTCCAAATGATGGAACTGTGCTCTTGTGTTGGGTTTGCACTGAACCAAACCACCTGCTCATTAGGATCTTCTTGCTTTTGAAAGGAGATTTAAGTGAAAATTTTTGAAATACATTCAAATGAAAATATCTATTTAAAAATTAACAGGATTCTTACCAGACTAATAAAATTCAGTGTTGTAAAGTGTGGATATTGGCAGTGTGGATGTTGGAAGGTATTTTAATGTCACGCCCACTGGTAGGATGCTATGGAATAAGAATTCAGCAACTTGTCCGCTTTGGATTCTGCTGAATTATGGGATTACACGGGAAGGTCAGTTATAAGAAAAATAAGTTGCCTGTGTGAACCGCTGAGCTATTCAAACTATGAAACTTATCGTAGAAAGGACTGTAAACATTCCCTTGTACTTTGAAGCTCATTAATGTAAATAATGGGGACGTGCGTGGCATTACCCAGGCTTTAACTTGGACTGCCGGCGAACCACGGAGTATCGGATGGCAATGGTGCAAGCTTTCATTAGAGGTATTATAACTTCGTCTGAAAGGACAGAAATGCGCACTGAAGTCATTGTGAAATAATTAATCTTCTGTGACCCCCGTCTTACATAGGTGCCGTCTGGTTGAACCTAGAGTAGAGAAAGGATGTTAGATGCCACCTTCTTCAATACTTCAATACTAGGATGGTTGTGTAATCTCTATGTGTAGAATAAAATGGACATCAAAATCCTTCACTGAATGCAAAACTAAATATTTTTGTATATGATGGATGAAACATGTCTATTTGAAGAGACAAGCTCTTACTGCTTCTGGCTCAGATAGGTTCTGCCTGCCCTGTGATCCCCAACCTCTGAATGTGGGATTCCTGACACTGAGTTTCATTTAGGATTCAGGTAACTTCTGCCCTTGATAAAACCACAGAGACTTGCAGACATCTCAAAGGAAGATTTTTGTCCTAAATTTAGGCAGGTCCCCGTTATCTCTGTGGCTGTGCAAGAGCCTGTGAAGTGAGTCCGTACACACCTCGCAGAACTTGTTCAGCATGTTCTCCCTGGGGACACGTACGTTCTGCAGCATGAGGTAGCCGTTGTCAACGTGCTCAAAATTCATTTTGGGACCGATGTCTCCTGCAGTTATGCCTGTAATGGGAGAAAATATAGCCTGCTTACTTCCACTTAAACTTTTTTCTCCCCATTTTGTGTCAGGCTGGGAATCCCAAAGGAGGGGCATGTTCAGCTCTGCTTCGTCCCCAGCATGGGTGATCTTGCCTGAGGGATGAAGCAGGCATTCGAATGCCTTCTGGTAGTTTGTTTCCGTGATCCATCTGTTACCCGTGTTGGCCGGGGTCAGAACAGAGGTATTAATGCAGAGGTGGTCAGAGCAGCCCAGGCTCCTGGTTAAGAAGGAGGCTTGGTCTGGATATGCCTGAGGATGCATTAGATCTTCTTTTAGATAAGAAAGTTGTGATTAATGATAACTATGCCTTGAGTATCTGTCTTGGTTTGGTTTTGGCAATTATAACTCTCTCTCCCTGGGCCCAATGTTTTGGAAAACATTGAAGGGCAAAATAGGCAGAGCACCTCCACAAGTGCTGCGATGTCTGGGGTCGTTTACCTGGGCAGAGCGAATGGTCCCGAAGGCTGCGTATCTGCACGATGAAGGGATGCACGCCGTAGCAGTTCCCGTGGACGTACAGCTGAGCAAAGACCACTGTGTGGGTTGCTGACCTTCCCACTGCAAGAAGAAAACCGGTCCCACTCCTTTAAGACCAGGTACAGTACAAACACTTCCGCAGTTAACAGCAGTCAGTGCTAATTGTGTGTTAGGTCTTGCTAACATATGGGTCAGCATAGGTGTGATCCACAGCTGGTGGAAGCTGGAGATTGCCAAATCTGCACTCTGAGCCTGTTAAAAACCCTTTGGTCTCTTAGTTGCCTCTTGACATGTGCATCTCTTCCTGAAGTCCTCTGCTAGCACCTGAGCCCTGAAACATGGAGCTTGAGCAGGGCAGACCAAGTAACGGAAGGAGGCAAATGAGGAAAACCAAAATATTTTGTGTGGTACTTACTGTCTCCAGGCCACCACTTCATGGCAGAGATCTTTGGTGTGTTCAGTATAAACTCCTGCGTGGTGATATCAAAGACTGCTGTTGTTTCCAAACCCTGAATATAGGTTCCTTTAAGAAAAAAAAAAAAAAAAAAA